GGGCCCTGATGTCTGTTTACACAGTGATGGAGATGGACAACATATTAACATAACATCTTCTATGTACCAGACTCAAAATGCATGCTAGCATAACTTAAACAACTCCTCTTCAGAGTAGCCTTTGAAAATCCATTGTTTTAAAGTTTTATTTTATTATACAGATATAAATTCATATCCCATGTTATGGCATGGAGTGTACATTTTGGGGGTGTTGATGGGTATTTTCAGGGTAGATAGAGCATTCCAACTATAAGGCACAATGGATAGCAACACTTCAGGTGAGGTCGATGGAAGTTTTAGTCTCTTCTCAGTGTCCTCAGGGCCTTGACCTGATGTGGCAGCCTCCAGTGCCTAATCCCACCTGGCTACTAACGCCATTATGACATGGTGGTTTTCTGGAACCTTCCCTCTAACTCACCCCTGCAGCAAACATGGGTCTGTAATAGCTGCCTGAGTTTCCTCCTGGCCCACAATTAGGCAGTGAGTAGAAGTAAGTGCTGTAAAAGCTAACAGGTGTTTTCTAGTCACTGATGGAGTAATAAGAAAATAAAAATCAGATACATTTGATGGCCGTATGAACCATTACACCATATCAAGTTCTTCTTGCCTACAGAACTAGCCTGGCTGCTTCTCTATAATGGTGCCACCATGGCTCATGTTAGGTACATTGGCTCTTATGGACTCTGGAATTCATTTTATTCATGCAGGTCACCTGGGTCTCAATGCCCACTTCACTGCTCTTGGAAAAGGCATTGTCTGGAGAATCTCATGATCCACCTGGCCAGGAACAAAAGCTGCAGGAGATAGGACTGGGATACTTATTGCAGCTGATGTCAGCTGTATTGAGTTTGCTGACATCAAACCCAATGAGTGTCAGGAGGCCTTCAGATGTGGTGCTATATCAGGACATTCCTAAAGGTCAAGACTACACTTCTACTGTCTCTGGGGCCCCCAAATGAACTATGCTAAAATATGTACTGAAATCATCAGCCATCATTCTTTGCTCTTTTCAAAGTGCAGACTTGGATTACTTATATTATCTGCTCTATAGAGAATAGATGGGGATTGATTGAGGGAGATCAATATTCTCAACTTTACCTGGACAAGCTGCAGCTTTTGTCTGCTCTTAAGGTAAATTTCATCCCATCCACAGACATCCAGGGTTGTTTGATGCCTGGAGAGCTGTCAGGCCTGGTTTGGATCCATGTTGTCCATGGCTTCTCCTCCCCATTGTGCCAAGCATAGTTCAGTGCTATTGTCCATATTCCCTTTCTACCCAAAGGGCTGTGTTTTTTCCAACCAGGTATTGCCTTCTGACCAATCCCTAGTCTTCCTCCACACAGGATCCTGCAGTGAAGTTTGCCAAACACAGATGGTCTCCATGCAAAAAGTCAGAGAACTGGGGCCCTTCCTCTATAGTGATGATAGCAGGCCAGTATCTTTAGTCCTTCTTGTCCAGCCTGACTAAATACCTCTCCTAGAATAGTGGGTAGAAGGCTTTCCTTGAGCAGTTTTTAATTTCCATGGCTCACAAGAAACACTCAGGCCTGACCTAGCCTTCAGAGTCACCTTGCTCATGTTGAGCGTATTTGAATTGGACAAAGCTAAATGAAGTTAGGACAATTTAAATTAGTGTTTAATTACACTGAATTTTAGCCAGTTAGAATAACAATAAAAAAGGAACTATTAGTGAATATAATTGCATTTGAGTGATAATCCTACAAATTTGGGGAATGTGTATGTATCTGTAGCATGCATTTGTGTTGTATATATTTGTGTGTTACTGCATACAACTACACATCATATACACATAGTTATTCACGGATTGTTATTGTCTTCTCTAATCCCTAGAAGTCAGGGCATGGTGTCCACATTTCCACAGCTTTCCTTTATCTGTGAATATCTAGCACTCTTAAAACTCCTGCACTCAGTTCGTGTCTGGGAATAAATGACACTGGGCTTGGTGACATGGAAGGTGAGCTCTCTGAGAGCACAGCAAGCCTGCTGCACTGTTATTGAGCCCTGCAAAGGACCTCGCCTCTGCATTTATATCTCTACTTATAAGAGTGCATTCCACATGCAGATGCAGTTAGGAAACAGATTCACCCAAAGAATGCCTTTGCTTATATGGTTTTTCTCAATTTTGAAACTACTTTGTGACATAATTTATAAGAAGCACAGTCATGATTCCAATTTTTTAATGGTGGTTGCTCCCAGATATGAGTGCCCCAGACATTCAGACAGGATGAAGTGAGGATGCAGCACAGTAAGCTCACAAGTCACTGTGATTTTCTATCCCAGGTTGTCCTGCCTCAGGTGCAGCTTCAAAAGATGTTATCTGGACCAGTGCTGCCCTCTTTGATTGACACTCACCTTTTGGCTCCTGGATTGTCCATAACAACTGCTAGTTACTGTTAGGATTGGGTCTCCTATGTCTCAGTGAAGGGGCTGTAGTTGAGGCAAAACATTGATTATAATGGAGGCACACTTTATAACAAGTCACCGTGAATAAAAACAAGCTCTATAATTAATTAAATTCTGCAAAAGGAAAATGGTATCATCATTGTGGTCATTTCCTAGGAATACACTTAACACATGATGAAACAATGTTGCACCATGCTTCATATACCATACATCCATAAACATGTTCCTTAGAATACAAACATGTGTCAATACTGATGAATGGATTAAGAAAATGTTTTTATACACAATGGAATTTTATTCAGCCAAAAAGAAGATTGAAATTTTGTCATCTGCCTGTATTTGGAGGGAACTGAAGAAGATCAATTCAAGGGATGTTAACCAGGTTCAGAAGGCCAAAGGCACATATTTTCTCTCAGATATGTGATATAGACCTAACACAAATATAAGCAATATTATGAAAAGCAGCATGCTATAGGCAGGGCTCATGCAAGAGAGGGAATATAAAACAGGAAGTTAAGAAGGTGAATGTGGTTGATGTTCTTCCCATGAAAAATATATATAAAAATTGTAAACCTGTTTAAATCTCCATATGATTGGGACTGTGGAAGGAAGGTGAAAATGGAGGGCATGAACCAACTCATATTATTTACATATACATAGAAATATCTCAATGAACCGTGTGTGTAGCAACCTTACACAAAAAGGTCATTAAAAATGGAGAACAGGAAGGCTAAAGTGGTTCATTCTGTGGAGTTAGTAACAATGCTTAGGGGAAGATATATAGAAATGGCTCAGGAGGGTAGAAATATTATATATTCATGTAACCCAACCTCTCAAGTCCCTGTCTGGGTGTCTGCCTCACCCAGTGCATATTATAGCTGATGAAGGTGAAACTGACTGTCTTGCAGGACACTTTCACTGAGTCCCCTGGTCTCCTCACAACAGCCTTAGGCTATTCAAGCGGACCTGGGCACATGAACCCATGTGGAGAGGAGGTGGTGTGTATCAATCCTACATTAGACTCTTGCCCTCTTCAGGCCTGGGAATGGAGAGCCCCTTTCCTGGAGCATCTGCCACCCAAAAGACGAAGCTCGATGTTGCCCATGGTGGGGAGCTGTGCTCTCAGGATTCTGTAGAAGAGGGGGTGGTTGTAGGATGCTCAGAGCACAGTCCTATGTGTATTTACCAGAGCTGCCTCAAGTAATTTGAATAATCACAATGCAGTGGGTTTGTCTTAGCTCAGGACCTGATCCAAATTGAGAGGGAGCATGTATCTGATACCTGCAACAATTACCAGCAGAAGGATATTTTCAAGGAGTTTCCCAGATTCACAAGTCAGGAATACAAGTCTTTAGATCTGTACCTGAAGATGCTGTGATTTTCTGATTTGATCCTCCTGTATTGTTTTTTTCTATAATTTCCATTATCTGAAGTATTGAAGAAAAGCTGACAATTTGGAACTTTTTTGTATGCTAAAATGCAATTTATCTCTGCTGCCTGCATTTTTCAAAAGGTAGCCTAATTGTCAAACAAGTTTTGATTAATGTGTTCATTTAAGAAACACCATTCATTACAACCAATCAATGTGTACTTTGGAAAACATGCTTAAATTCACAAGTGTTCCTTATTAGTAAAATAAACCAAAGCAAAGTATATATTATATACTATTATACATTCCAGAGCAATAGAACTAATTAAATTAGAAAAACTAATATCAGAAGTTGCCCAGGGACATTGTAGGAGAAAGGAAATTGGAGAAAGGAGAAATTGCAGAGAAATGAGAGGCAGTGTTGAGGGAAATAGATTTGTTTCTGTGTTGGTAATGGTGATGGTTTTATAGATTGTTATCACATAGTACACATTTACATATGCATGATGGTGCACAAGTTATACTTCATTGAATCTATTACAAATAAGCAACAGTAAATTTAGGCAGGTAATGATGGGAAGATAATAACACAGGAAATGTTGGAGACTCCTGAGTGATGCTTCAGAGAATCTTCATTGCTGGTCTATGTTTAGAGAAGCACAGGATGTATGACAATGGCATCCTTTTCTCTACAGAGGAAGAGAGGTGGACTCCATCACTAAGCATGTCCATCTCTACCTTGGATCCCTTAGAGGCAGAGGAAGTTGAGAACTGTGGGAAGGACTACAGGTCCAAATACTTGAGTTTGTGTTTAGCAGATATGAGCTCTTATCATATCACACATCTTTCAGCTTTTGACTTTACATGTTTGTATCATGTAAGAAGTGAGTGGAATGCATGACAGCATGCATACTAACACTGAGATAAAATAATGAATGTTCACTGACTAATAAAGCACCAAAAATTGCACTTACTAGATATTATCAATGATTGCACATTTCTCTCAGCATACCCACAGCAGCTTGGCAGTGCCTTCTCTTTGACACCCAACACCGGAGCCTGTTATATAGCAAACAGGCATGCAAATCATACTTCCTTCTCTCCATAAGTACCAGCCCAGCCCTGACCCGGCAACTCTGGGAGAGGAGCCCAGTCCTGGATTCCCCACTAACCCGATTCTGTGATCAGTCAAGAATACAGACCACTCACCATGCAGTTGGAGCTTAACTGGGTTTTCCTTGTTGCTATTTTAAAAGGTGATTGATGGAGAACAAGAGATACTGAGTGTGAGTGGACATGAGCGAGAGAACAGTCAGTACTTGTGACAGCTTCCTGACCAGAACTCTCTGTGTTTGCAGGTGTCCAGTGTGAGGTGCAACTGGTGGAGCCTGGGGGAGGCTTGGTGCAGCCTGGAGGATCCATGAGACTCTCCTGTGCAGCCTCTGGATTCACCTTCAGTGATTACTACATGAATTGGGTACGCCAAGCTCCAGCGAAGGGACTGGAGTGGGTGGGTTTCAGTAGAAACAAAGCTAAAAGTTACACAACAGAACACAATGCATCTGTGAAAGGCCGATTTACCATCTCCAAAGACAATGACAAGAGCATGCTGTACCTGCAAATGAACAGCCTGAGTGCTGAGGACATGGCCGTGTATTACTGTGCAAAAGACACCTTGGATAAACTACAGTTAGAGTCCAGACACAAACTTCCTTGCTGCGAAGGGATCAAGACCAGCAGGAGCGCTCAGTGCACTAGGAGATTCTCCACTGTCATCACCCATAGCAGATTCTGAACAAGTTCCGGGATGCTGGTGACTCTTTTTTCATGTCAGTCTGGGCAGAGAATCCATAGGATCCCTGGTTACGATAGAGTTTGGGATTCACGTTGTGTACAAGAGGGAGGAGAAGCCAGATCACCAACCTATAAAACCTAATAGGTCTCAAGTCTTCCCCTGTTCCTCCTGTAGAACTGTGCACATCTGTACCACACAAACCCATTTCTACTGTTTTACCTCAATTTAATTCAAATAATTATTCAAGCACACATTTTTACACCCTCCTTTTCTGCTTGTTCAATCAGAAAATGCACCTTGTGACCCCTGAGATCTAAATCTCAGTGCTGTTCCATGTACTGTTAGCTCAGGTGTGTCTCAGGGTACAGCTGCTGAAGAACCCCAAGATCGACTGATGAGATTTTCCAATTTCCTTTCCCAGGGCTTCCTGCTGTCCTCTGGGCAAGGTGACTCATGAGAAATCAAGGTGGGCCTTGGGTGTTGGGGTTAAGATGATCAGGCAACACAGGATGTGGTCAGAGAGCTCACCTTGCTCTACCTTTTCTGTCAAGGAATCAACTAAATCCCTGTAACTGTGGGGAGACCTGTAGATAGGACACCTCAGGGAACAGCATCTAGGTCTCTTGTGAGCCATGTTCTGTGGCTCTGTCATGATGACTGTCACCCTGGAAATTAGTCACATTTATTTTGCTACTAGTACCAGGGCCTTGCACAAGCTAAGCAACCACTCTACCTCTTGTATCACATCCCCAGACCTTTTGTTTGTGGGTTTTTGTGGTACTGTGGTTTGAACTCAGGACCTACACCACAAGCTGCTCCACCAACCTCTTTTTGTGATGGTTTTATTCAAGATAGGGCCTCAGGAACTATTTGCCTGGGCTGGCTAGAACCATAATCATGCTGATCTTGGCCTCCTGAGAAGCTAAGATTGTAAGCATGAATCACTGGGACTGTCTCTGTATCTCAAACTCTGCCAGTACTGTTCTCAAATGCGCTATTATTCTCCTATATCCTGAGTAGCTGGGATTTCAGACATGCACAAACACTCAGCTTCACTGTGGTTTTGAGTTTAGTGTCCATGAGAATAGTGACATTGAACACTTTTTCATGAAAACTTACATATTGTCATAAGTGTGTCTTTCTTTGAAAAATGTTTATATCTGTTGGTGGGTTTTTAATTAAGTTATTTTTAGGAATGATATTTTGGAGTTCATTATATATATTCTAGACATCCACCACTTTTCAGATATATGGTTTAATATATTTCCTTCCAATATTCAAGTTTCCTCTTCCTGTGTTGATTGTTTCCAATGTTGTGCAGAAGATTTTTAGTTTGGAATAAACTTATTTGTCAATTTTGATCTTGATTCCTGATATTTTGAGTCCTGTCCAAAAATTCCTTGACATTTCCACTGACTTGAAGGATTTCCTCCATTTCCTATTCCAGTAGCTTCACAGGAAGAATCTTGGATTTACATTTTAAGCCATTTTCAAGTGATCTTTGTAACTGGTTAGGACTGTGGTCTACCTATACTCTTCAACCTGTGGATATCATATTTTCCCAGAACCATCTATTATAAATACTGCCCTGACTCCAGTGTGCATTCATAGCCTTTGTCAGAAATACCGTGGTTGTAGACACACAACTCACTTCTAGCTCTCTGTTCTCTGTCCTCTGTATATCTGTTGTGTTTATGCCAATGTCCTGCTGTGTTAATTACTATATTATAGTTTGCATCCAGGTAGGGCAATGCTTTGTACTGTATTCTTTTTGCTAAAATCGGTATTTTTGTGGTTTCATACAAACTTTAGGATTTTTCAGAGCTTCACTAATGCATTTCTTGAATAGTCTTAAAATCTTAACAATATTAGATATTTCAACAAATGAACACAAATTTCTTCCATTTTTTTGTTTTGTTTCTTGTCTTTTGTATATTTTCCTTGATATAGACCTTACATCTCTGATTAAGTTTGCTTACAATATCCTTTTTTATTTATGGCTGTATTTGTTGCAACTTGTGATTTTGCAATAATTTTGAATGGATTCCTGTCGTCACCTGTTTTTGGTATCATAGTGTGCAGGATTCACAAAGTGAATTTAGAAAAACCCTCCACTTCCATTGTTTAGAGTGACTGAAGAAGTCTTTTTATCTGTTCTTTCTTCAATATTGGGTAAATCTCAGCAGAGAAGCATCAGTCCTGGGATCCTTTCATTGCATAATTTTTATTAATCAAAGACTCAGTCTTATTACTGGTTTCTGTTCAGTCTTTCAGGTTTTCTAGTTTTTACTGATTCAGCCTTGGAAAGGTGTACATGAACTAGAGTTATTCTGTTTACTACAGGTTATCAAAATTTTTGGCTTTCAATTGTTCATAATAATATCTAGTGATATTTTTTCTGTGCAGTCTGTAGTACTGTGTTCCCCTTCATCTCTAGCTCACTTATTTGAGTCTACTTTCTTTCTTACTTAGCCTAAGGAATTCTCAGTTGTGTTTATATTTAGAACCCACCAGGTCTTTCTTCTCTTGAAATGTAAAAAAAAATATAGAACTCTAATTTACCTACTCCTTAATTCCTTCCTTCCTTTTTTCTTTCCTTTCTTCCTTCCTTTACTCTTCCCTTCGTTAACTCCTACCTCCCTCCTTCCCTTCTTTTCTTCACCATTTACTTGTTTACTTTTATCAGTACTGGAGTCTTGACCTCAGATCCTTAAGCTTGATACAGACATGCAATACTACCTGAGCAACTATGCCAGCACTCCCTTCTTTTAGGTATTTTTAAGAGAGGTACTTGCTATAAGCAGGGATTGCCTGGATCATGTCCTCATATTTGTACTTCCTCACATAGGTATGTGGCAGGTGTGCTACTCACCCAGCCATTTGTTGAGTTTGAATCTTTGAACATTTACCCTGGGCTGGGCTCCACCATGATATTCCTAGCCTCCAGATAGCTAGGAGACTTGAGCTCCCAAGGTGGCTTGAGCCACCATGCCTCACTTGGCCTCTAATTCATTTTATTTTAATGTTTAGTATTTTTTTCCTTCTCTTAATTCTGAGTTTTATTCTCCCTTTTTTACTACTGCTGTAAAATACAATGATAGGTTTTTTACTTGGGATGTTTCTGCTTTACATCTAGGCACTGAGTGCTATCAACCTCCCTCTTCATATAGTTTTTGATGTTTATAACAGATTTTGATATAGTGTGCCTTCATTTTTACACATAATTAAAATGCATTAGCATGCATTAATTGTACACAGTGCTTCATTGAGGCATTTTCCTATGTGAATACTGTTTACTTCTATAAACTCATACTCATGTTATGGTGTTTTGGATTCTTAACCTTCTTTGCACCTCTCCTTTTCAAAATGTATTCAGTAGGTTTTATTATGCTATCTCCACATATATATGTACATATACACATAAATATATATACACACTTTGAACCTATTAACCCCACCAGTCACCTCTCCTTTCTCCTTGACCATCCCACTGATTTCTCCATCTGCCAGCATCCCCTGTACATTCATGTATCAGCACTATTCTGTATAATTATTATTATCATTATCATTTTAGGTCTAGAGTCCTCATATATAAGAAAGCATGACCTTTGGCCTTTTGTGTTCACCTTCTCTTGCTCAAATGATAGTCTCCAGTTCCATGCATTTTCATGGAACCATCACAAATTCATTATTCTTCCTAGCAGAATTATACACTATGTGTGTGTATATATATATACACTATTGTGTGTGTGTGTGTATATATATATATATATATATATATTATACACTATATATATATACACTATATATATTTATATATACATTATATATACATTTATATATATATATATATTTTTTTTCTTTATTGATTCGTTGGTTGTTTGTCACTTGTACTGATTCCACAGCTTGGTTACTGTGAATAGAATTGTGACAAACATAGGTCCACCGGTATTGCTATTGTTTTTTGATTTACAGTCTGTTGGTTATATGCCCAATGGTGATATTAGTAGGGTAATAAGGTAGGTCTATTTAGAGGTTTGATGAAACTCAGTAATGATTTCTGTAGTTGTTGCACTAGTTCACATTTCCAGCAATGGAATATGAGGTTTCCTTCTCCCACCAGCACTTGACAGCATCTGTTTTCTTGATGATTGTCCTCTGACTGGGTTTGAATGGAATCCTATTGCAGTACTGATCTGCATTTCCATTTTGGCCAAGGATGTTGGACATTTCTCCACTTATTTGCAATCCATTTGTGATTCTGTAGAATCACCATGGAAATGGAATCCCCAAGCCCATTTTCTAGACATGTGACTACTAGCAATGCTAAGGTGACCCACAACTGAGTCATTGTCCAGGTCACACGAAGGGAGGAAAGGCTATGCTGCTTTGGTCTGCATATTGCTGAGGTGCAGTCATGGTGACACAGTTCCACATCCATCCACACTTAAAGTCTGCTGAATCAAGGTCTGAGGTAGTGGGGCCATGTGTCTTACCCTGGTACAGGGGCTAGTTCAGGGTATCTGTCACAGGCCAGTGTGGGGCTAAGAACTTTAGGGGTCTGCCCAGTGTTAGGTTTCATTATATTGGTCTTAAGTTCCAGAATAAATTTCATGAGCTTACTACTGCTGGTCTACACCCACATGATGTAGCATTTTAGCACCTTGTGATGCCTAAGGTTGTTATAAGGCCAGCTAGGCCTTGCCAAACGAGCCTAACGCTAATCTGGTAAGTACCTGATACTCACATCCCAAAGGGGCTACATTAAATCAATGTGGAACTGTGTACTCCAAGTTCACTCAAAAGCTGGCATGGAGTCTGTTATAGAAACTTATAGTTCACTGTATTTATGTGCAGGCCCCACCTGTGAGCCCTCCCCTGTGGTAGGCACTTTTCTTTCTGCACAGTGCTAGGTCTCAATGCCTGGTCATGATCTCCAATGCAAATCCCTGTGCTTGTGCCCATGTTCCAGTCCTTGGAAACTGGGGTCTCTGTTCTGC